ACTGTGAATTTGCGACAGGTTTTTTCTCTGGGAAATGCATTAAGTAGCTAGGTACTTGAGGTATTATTGAAAGGAATTAATGGTACTATAGTTTATACAATTAGTTAGCTAGGTAGGTTAATTGGTCAAGGAACAAGGTGATGACGCAATTCGGGCATTATGAGGTGGTTGTGTAAATTCTTTGACTCAAAACACTTGCGAATTGATTAGTCAAAAATCCCATATTCTACTACTTTGGGTTGTTTAGGTTGGAAGCAATAAACCATAAAGGGAGCTGTACTTAATGTATATAATATTATACCAAGTACAACCACTGGTAAAGGGTCAATGTTTTATGCCGATAAGCTGATTAATTAAATTATACCACAAAGGATTAAGATATATATCCATATCCATAATGATAATAATTATTTTCTATTAATATTTCTTTTTTTTTTTCTTTGCTTAAAATGAACTTGAATCAACAAGCATGCTTGAAGAAAAGAAAACATTATTTGAAGTTGGATTTTGTAGTTTTAATCATAGTATAGATGCTACTTTCCTGAACTTGCGTGTGTGTGTGTGTTGTCATTATTAATGAACCAAAAAAAAAAAAAAATTGTCAGAACCTTGAGAAAGCGTTTAAGAATTAACCTTAGAAAATAACATTATTGAAAAACTATAAAACAAAAGCTAGCAATCCAAAACGATCAAGTTAATATGCCATTTTAAGAATGAGTAAAAAAAAAGGTGTTAATTGTGAAGTACCAATGTTGAATTAAAATACAATAACACACCAAATATAAAAAAGTAAAAGAAAAATTAAAGAACGATTGATCTATTGCAAGCTAAGTTGTAAGGTTCAATAGTAGTTCAACCTAACTGATTTCCAAATACTCCCTCCGTCCCATAATTATTGTCCATTTTGTCCAAAAAATTTTGTCCCAAAATTATTGTCCAATTTGACTTTTTATGGATCAAGTTACACATTTGTTCTTAGTAAAAAACATTATCCATAAAATCTTAGTGGTTAAACAATTACTTACATAGGGGTATATCCGGTTGTTTACGGTAAAATATAGTTAAGTTTGACCAAAAATAAAATCTTTTATTTTAGTAAAAGTGGACAAAAATTATGAGACGGAGGAAGTAAATAAATAACACACACTCATAGATTTAGCAGTAATTAAATTCTTCGAGAGTTATTAAATATTGTTAACAACTCAGATAAACTGACATCCATGTGGGAAGTAGCAGTCTCTGAAGAACTGCAGCATAATTAATGTGAAAAGGAAAAGACTAAAAGAAGAAGTTGATCTTCATTATTACTAAGTCTTATTTAATCGTTGAATAAGTGGTCCACAAAATTATTGTACATGATGATAATTATTAAGCCCAAACAGAACATTTAAGTGTAAGGTACATAATATTAATAGAACCATTAATGATTAATTGTTTTCCATTTGTCTCTTATCCATTTTGCCTTGATCACTTGCAAATAATTGATCGTATCTTAGTTATTTCTCAAAGTTTTAATTTGGGCACAGCTAGTATAAGCTAACATTTTCTATAAATATATATGGCTACAATTAATTTATATAAAGTTTATGAAATGAACGTACAGGCCAGTTGTACGTCTAGCTATCTAATTCCTTTTGTCTTTCACATTTTAATCATATACTGAAACAACTAACCACCAACCATAATCCATCCCATTAAAAATCTTCTTGTCATTACTTGCCTGTTACTCGGTCTATTATTCATCAGTTATGTGTTTTTATCATACTCAAGATCTAGTTATTTTATACTCTCTATGTCTTAAAATTATTGTCAGTTTGAAATTTTACTTTTAGTACAATTTAAACTAGAAATAAAAACCCAAACTAGACAATAATTATGAGACGGAAGGAGTACTTACCCAAATTTAGAAGAAAATTTACTTGTTCATTATATGTTATCATGTTCTTCTAGGTACAAACTTTAATCAGTACTTTATTCATTTCAATCGAGCATATGTATAGACCGAAATAAGTCGGCAAAGGGTATAGATAATCGATTAATCGTATGCAAACTACTAGAACTTAAGTTGTAGCATCTTGTTGGATAATGATATACACTTTACTAATTATTAATCTTCTAAAAAGGGATTCCATTCCGTTATTCTCCTCAAATTATATTCATTTTAAAATTATACAATTTACGAATGGAATTGCCTGCTTTTATGCACCTTTGCGGTTACATTCGGAGTAGACAGTGGATAAAAGATAATAGATATATCTCAGTTGAAGAAAAGATCGCAATGTTTCTAACATGTACGTATTTGCACCATACAAACCGTGCAGTGAAGCGAAGATATCAACATTCAACTCAAACAATTCACAAGTAAGTTTACAAAGTGCTTGAAGGTATGTGCACATTTTCAAAGGAAATGATTGTCCCCAATTTGATCCGAGTGTGTTCGACAGTGAACGCCTACGCCGAACTCGTGCACCTTTTTTCGGGTGATTTTCTAATGTTATTTTTTATTATTTTAATTGACCAATGGTAATAATCTATTTAATATGTAGTGCACTAAAATATATCCTCTTTTTTTTCTTTTTTTTTAAGGGTGCCATTGGAGTTTTAGATGGCACGCTTATAAATCCAGTAATACCACGAGACCAACAGACTCTATATCGAGGGAGAGGCAAGGATGATTGCTTTCAGAATGTTCTTGCAATATGTGATTTTAATATGGTTTACACGTTTCTGTGGGCTGGTTGGGAAGGGACAACACATGACTCTAGAGTACTTACGAAAACTATGTGAGATCCGGCGGGTAATTTTCCATTTCTCCCAGCAGGTAGATGTTAATTATGATCATGTATATTTTTAAGAAAAATTCTATTATTTTTTAAGGATGTTTGAAATACAATATTTTTTTTTGGGAAAATGGGTCTTTTCATCCCAAAGTTTAGGCCACACTATCCAAAACATCCCAAAGTTTAAGAACATGCCATTTACATCCCAAACTTTTTAAAAACATGTTACATTAGGATATTCGTTAAATTTTTAACTCCAGTTAATTAATTAGTGGTGGTGCTTTATACTGTTTCTCCTACCCCAATTCTTTTAATCATTTAACACGTTACACTAACTCTCACCTTATAAGAAAATAGCTAAACCTAATTTGGTCTTCACATCATCCATTCTTCCTTGCTTAGAAAAAGAAAAAAAATATCCAAGATTCACCTTCTAGATTGATAACAATCATGAGAGTTTTTGTGTGTGTCTTAATTAGAGAGTAAGCCTTATTTCATTTATTTTTTTAAATATGTAGCATCATTATAAAAATTAGTGTTGTAATTGACGTAGGGGTATGTAACTTTTTTGCTTGGCATGGACCAAATTTACCAAACGCAAGCATGAAACTTTTTTGACTAAAAAAAATGGGGGAAAAGAAACTGAATGAAATATTGTCGTTAATAACTTCAAAAAATTAACAAATGTCCTAATATTACATATTTTTTAAAAGTTTGGGATGAAAATAGCATGCTTTTAAACTTTAGAATATTTTAGGTGGTGTGGCTCAAACCTTGGGATGAAAAGGTCCATTCTACCTTTTTTTTTTATTGTAGGGAAATATTATCTTTGTGCTGCAGCTTATCCTATTACTCATGAATTTTTGACATCTTACCGCAATGTGCGATACTGGTTGTCAGACTTTCAATCTGGTGGGCTTGCGAGATCAAAGGAAGAAAAGTTTAATCAAGCTCATGGTCGAGTAAGAAATGTAATTGAACGAAGTTTTGGCGTGCTAAAAAACGTTTTCCGATCTCAAAGATAATGTCACCATATTCATTTCCAACGCAAAGAAATATTTTCATTGTGTGTGCGGCTATCCACAACTATCTCCGCAAAATTGGCGTCACGGATATTTGATTTGAAGAATTCGGAAATAAAGATACGATTTTGGGCAATAATCAAGAATCAGAATTATCTCAAGGTGATGTGGCAATTGGATCTTTCACAGGGGGAAATAAACAAGATGATAGAGAATTTATGATTAATTTGTGTGAAACACTAAAAAATTAATTTAAAAGAAAAAATTTACATTTACATTTTAATTTAACTTTGGGATTTTTTTATAATTTTTTTATTTGTACACTTTAATTTGCATTGAGGATTATTTTATTAACAATTTTCGTCATTTAAATAATTAATCGTTTTAAGTAAAATCATTTATTCCATGAAGGGAAATATGTACTATTTTAAAAGTATAATATAATAAATAAAAATGTATTTAAATATAGGGATATATTAGTAAATTTATCCATATTCTGACTTTAGTCCTACAATATTATCAAACAGCTTGAGTGGAATCATTGTTCAGATTTAGATATTTTTATTTACGACATTCAGTCATTTAGATTCAGTCACTTATTCAATTGAGTCACTTATCAAACAGGACCGTACTATTACTTTACTGTTAGTTGCATTATTATATCAATTTCATGTAAAGCTTAATCCCCGTTCCTAAGCAACTACTTTTGGACAAGTCTCCCTTATTGTTAATAATCTAATAGTAAGTACTGTAATTTAAATTAATTAATGTTCTGTCTTCATAAGTCTTGTTAATAAATTTTATTCAAAGCAAAGCACAATAGCAGCCCCACCAGCCAGCACAGTTTGCTCTGAACTTCATTTCTCTTCTGAAATTTTCATTTCCTCATCTCTCAACTCTCTGTTTTGATCTGAAGTCTTAAGTTTCAGTACGAGCAGTTATCTTTTGATATTTTTTCTTCTCTCAAGTCCCTCTACCACCAAGCCATTCCTTGTTTTTTTTTTTTCCGAAAAAACTTTCTTAATTGATTGGATCAAGAATCTGCGTTGACTTCTGCAAAGTTATTTAGATCTTGGGGCCGTTGGAAATTGGAAGGCCGAAAAGGAGAAGATTTGCGATCTGGTCAATCACAATCACTTAAAAGTCTATCAACAAAGGCACGAATCTTTTGTTTTTCTTTTTTTTTTTTTTTTTTTTTAAAAAAAATTATATGTTTCTTAGCTCGGGCGGTTCTACAGGATTACTGTTTGTAGGTTTGATGGAGCTTCTTAGCTTTAGCAATATTTAAACTAACTAAGGAAGAGTTTCCAATGTTTTCCATTTGGAAATGACATTGGCATCTTTACCTTCAAACTCAATCTGATATATCTGTTCTGCTTCAAACTCTATAGAAGTAGTTGATGATTTGCAGCTTCTGTAGAAAATGCAACCGATGACAGTATCCAAGACGAGGAGAATTGTGTATAAATATGCTATGAATATCCCTTCAAAAACAATGGATGAAAAGGAGATTCTGACTCATGAATTGCTCTTATAATTCGGTATTGAAATAAGGCCTCAAGTGCTGCCAGTGCAAGGTTAACAGGAAGAGCCAAGGATAATGCTGTTGCTGTTCTTCCTCGAATCAGGACGCAAGCCTTGAGGATCGCAATGTATCCGCTGGAATTTTCCATCCCTGAGACTATTAATGCAAGATTGCAAATGATGAGGGAATTTGCAAGAACTATGGAGTACAGAACAGCTCCTGTGGCTGAAAAGATCAGCAGTGTTTTCGGGTTCACAAGGCCTAATCCATCGGCGCAGTTGAACGCGATGAACAGGATGCAGAAACAGGTTGCATTTGCGGAGATCATCAGTATCATGTTGCAAATTTGAGTGTAGAAAAGGGGACCGAAAAGAGAATTGAAAAAGGCGAAAGGGGTTCGCGAGACGGGCTTACGGTTATTAGACAAAGTATGGATTACAAATGCCTTGGTGAAAAGGAAGAAGGTGAAGATGAAAGGAAAAATTAGATAAGATGTTGCAATGGTCTGAGACAGCTTGATGTTAAGAATTGCGAAGAAATCCGATGACCTTGGAAAGCCGGCAGCATCGAAGAGCGATTGCAGCCGGTTGTGAATCCCCTGAAGCAGAGCAGATGATGGAATTGCAGATTCTGACAACAGGACTAGTGCTGCATAAGGTAAGGCAAGGATTGCTGCAGTTGTGGTGAAAGATTGATACTTTTGCAGAAAAGTGTAAACTGATCTTCTGAGAATTCTGACTGTTTTCCCCATCGGGATTCTTGAATGTTCTTCCATGGATGAATCAAAGTGTAAAAATCTCAGTCTTTAAACTGATATGATAGAAATCAAGAAGCACAAAAAAAAGGGTACTATATCAAGGGAAGTTAGGAGGAGTTTGGAGAATTTAGTATTCTTGGAAGAATGGATTGGCCAACAACCTAAGGCTAACAAATCCCGAAGGGATGGAGTTGTTGTTGTTGTTGTTTGAAGTTAATTTGTGATCACCTTGGAAGGATTTGTTGTTGGAACTCATTGTGAGAAACTCCTCTTCTTCCTTGTAAAAATCTCCAACCTTTCTCCTTACAAATGAATTAGTTGGCTGACTTATTAGGAGAGGTTGGAAAGACTATCTATTTCATGATGATTAAAATAACATCATGACATGATGTATGAGTATGACCCTCTCCTCTTTCTTCTTTTGCTTGTTACTGAAAACTACCCAAAGTTTGGTGGCTTATAGAGCACTCTAGGTAGCTGACCTTTTGATATACATTATATAATATTGCCATGCAATAGATGGGATAAACTATTGGACTAAGATCCAAGTAAAAGCAAAGTGGCAAGCTAATCATGAATATTGATTCTCTCCTTCCTAACTCACAATAAAAGCCAAAATTTTGAGTATATATATTGTATATACTCTCCCGCTCTTAAAATAAGTGTTATATTGATAATTTTATTTTTGTTTAAGTATCACTGATTTTTTTCTTTTTCCTTTTTCTTTTTTATTATTTTGAGATGGAAAGGATTATTATTACTTCTTTTGTCCTATAAAAATAACTAGATGCCTGGCCCAGGCAGGAGTCCGGGCGCCTCTAATGTTACAAAAATATTGTTTAAGAAGCATAAAATTATTAAATTATTAGTATTAAATTTTTAAAATTCGATAAAAAGATTTACAATTAATGTTGAATAATAATGCATAAGGTATAAAAAAGTTACATAAATGATAACATTAATTGAAAAATGATCATTTAAAAAATGGAAAATTGTTTGTCAAATAGGAAAACATTTACTTATTTTTAAAAAGTATAAATAAATAATTAAAATTAATAGATTGGCCAAATGTCTGGAGTATTAAGTTATTTAAATGAAATACATGATGAATAAACTAATTTTAAGAATATATAGAGTTACAAATATAATTATCCATGGAATTCAATTTAAACAATATAGATTATTTGTTAAGCATAAATTAATATTTAAATGTTTTTCTGTTGAATAATATTAATGGTCATAATATTTTAAATTCTATGTGTTTTATAGTGGCATCTATTACAATTTATAGTGGTCAATTTACGGTAGCATAAATGATGTTTTATAGTCTTTTTATTCGGTATCTTTGAAAAAATAGTGTTTTATGGTTCCACTCTGAGCTTTTCTACTTGTTTTTTTTAATCTAAAACCATCATCAAAATTACCAAAAAAAAGCTACCGAATTTATATATCCTAAAAAACAAAATGTAGTGTCCAAAATGGGTTTGCTGTCTTTTTCTAAAAATTACTCCAAATGGAGCTTACGCATGAAATGAAAAAAATAAAAGGGAAAGCTTCCTATTTCAACTTCATTTTCTTCCTTCCGTAGCTTGTTCCTCTGATTTCCAGGTGAATAATCATTTGGTTCTCGCCAGAGTTCAAGTAATAGACATTGGTTTCCGGTTGCATTACTCATCAATACGATATAGGTGTTCTTTTTTTAACAGCTCTTCTTCTATTTCCATTTACCCCCAATCTGTGGTCCAGTGACCAACCCAATCGTATATTTGTTGAATCTGAGATATTTTAGATTCGAATATTTTCAATTCCGGATTTAGGCGATTTTAATAGATATGCTTTCATTTTGAATTTGGATGGAACGTTCAATCCAATAAATCAGATTGTGTTCTATGCCAGAGGGGATTTTTTTTCTGAAAAGCAGGCGTCTGTTAAAGGTATGTTGTTCGAGATTCAAAGCAGATCTATAAGAATCAATGGGTTCAACAGGTATATGATTTAATTCAACGATTGTTTACCATATAGAAAAGCATTTGGAAATGTAAATTATTTTAGACTTTATTATTAATTTTTGCAGGAGGAGAATTTCAGATCTGATGTATACTTGAAGGTTTGAAATGGGGATGAATGTTTGACTAACAGGATGAAACTGTTACAATGAGGACTCTATTAAAGGTAACTCTAAAATTATCTCATTAGATACAATTATACACCTGTTTATATAATTTGCATACCACTTCAACTGTATGTATTTAAAACATACCAATCCCTTTGTTTTGAAGTCAACTGGAACTACAATCAATTGTTCATATGCCTGCTCCATCTTGTCTTAACACTGGAAATTTGATCTAAAATTTGATTGATAACACCAGGACCAAAGCATATATTGGTTGATGGTGTGCCTTCATGTTATGTGCTTTTGGCCTTTTTATAACCCTTGAAGAATAGATGGGAGATAAAATTTTAGTTTCATTTATACAAATCATGGATAGTTTTGGAATATAAGAAGACTTTTAATTACACTGAAATTGTAAATGGGAAGTTACCATATTTTAACCGATGGCTGTTGAAATATCCCATAAAATTAGGAGAACATAATAAATTTATTATTTTATAATATTGAAACAGGTTAACAGAATCCTGTTAAAAATGAATGTCTTCGTATTAATAAAGTAAATCCAATGTATTCTATTAATAAAGTAAATCCAATGTAGTTTATTTTTATAATGAAAGTCCAAATCCTAATAATTTATTATATATATGGATAATTAGTATTCTGTAACAATTTTTTTATTTATTGATAATATTCAGTTATCTTGGTATCGTCGTTATTTGTTGTTCAGTTATTTGAAGATTGAAAAAAAAACACTAAATGTAAGATAACTTTTATATTATGTGGTAAAACATAATTAACCAAACACCAATATTGAAATCATCTATCAATTACATACACTGCAAAAAAACTTAATAACACTATTTCTTGGCTGGACGCTATCCCTATCCAAATGGAATTGAAAGAGATTTCCTATTGTCATGGCATTGTCAGAGAGCAACTTCTCCCACTCTCCTGCCATTTTTAATTTACAAACTCTTTTTCCAATGAACCTTTTGTCATAAGCCTGTTGAAGTTTCATACTATAAGGTCCTGCCACAGTAATTATTTAAGCGGTTCCTTTTAAAACTATATTCTTGGGCCGCTTCCAAAAGTTTACAGGAACAGTCTGCGTAAATTTTAAAAACACAAATTATTGGTCATAAAAAAATGACTACATTTGAAGAGAGCGCCAGCCATAAAATATCTTACAATAGCTGTTTTTTTGCAATGGTTGTAAAAATAATGGTTTTGAAGCAGTCTTCCTCTTTGACAGATACAGGGGCTGGTATTTCAACTCCATTAGCTCTGGAAAAAAAGGATAGTGAAACTCATATTTCCATCGTACTGTAAAAATGCGGTCGTAGCTTCCTCCAAAACATCTGCATGATCTGATAACATTTTCTTTCATTCAGATCCACCCAGAAAAATTCTGCTTTCATGTAATCCTTCTGTATAATCAATATTTATTGTTATCCTTCTTTATTTTCTCATGCATTAAATTGAGTCTTCCTTCAACGGCATCACAGCTTTTTGCCACGCTTATTGGGTTTTGATTTGACACACTCCTCACCGCCACTTGCAGGTAGCGTGTTCTTTGAGGGAGGACTCTCTGCAATGTCATTGCTTGGAAGTCCCATGTCAGTATGATTAGTGCAGGAAACGGCAGTTTGTGTTTATAGGCAAATGTAAGTGTTGGAAAATCTATTTATTGCACAAATTTACATGAACTTTAAATCATAAATCTCACATATTCATTAGAAGTTAGAAGTTGTGATATATAACTTTAAAATACCTTTGCAGTACTGTCCTGATTAGTTGTTAAGGTTTGATAGTATTCTGCACTCATTTCAGGATCAATGTTCTGAAATGTAATCGTACAAAGTTGATTATATAGCATCACTGATTTAAAACAAAATATTGCCAAAAGGAAATATAAATGATTGTGTGTATAAAGTAGCCAACTTACTTGATCTTCAACAACATCATCTAGATATTTCTTACTAATGTCTGCCTCTGTAATCAGCCTAGCAACTTAAAACAAAATATTGATAACATTTTCTTCCATTCAGATCCACCAAGAACAATTCTGCTTTCATGTTATCCTTCTGTATAATCAAATCTATTCGCGGTAATCAATATGCTTCTTCATGCACATTAATGGAAAACATTACTTAAAACCCATGAAAACATCATTATTATGATTTTGGTGTGGAAAACCAATCAACTTGATAAGTAAAACAAAAGGCAATTTCATATAAAAAAATATCCAAAATTCCACACTAATATAATAGTGGAAAAGGAAGTTCAAAAAATATAAATAATGTTTACTGATTGGGAAAAAAAATTCAGATGACGAAACACAAACACAAAGTAAGGTGTTTCTTTATTTTTCATGCATTAAATTGAATCCTCCTTCAACGGCATCACAACTTTTTGACACGCTTGTTGGGTTTTGATTTGACACTCTCCTGAGCGGCACTTGCAGGTAGCTTATTCTTTGAGGGAGGACTCTCTACAATGTCATCGCCTGGAAGTCCCATGTCATTATGATCAGTGCAGGAGACAACAGTCTGTTTACAGGCAAATGTAAGTATTGGAATATCTGTTTATTGCACAAATTTACATGAACTTTAAATCATAAATCTCACATATTCATTAGAAGTTGTGATATATAACTTTAAAATACCTTTGCAGTACTGTCCTGATTAGGTGTTAAGTTTTGATAGTATTCTGCACTCATTTTAGGATCAATGTCCTAAAATGTAATCGTACAAAGTTGATTATATAGCATCACTACTTTAAAACAAAATATTGCCAAAAGGAAATATAAATGATTGTGTGTATAAAGTAGCCAACTTACTTGATCTTCAGCAACATCATCTAGATATTTCTTAATAATGTCTGCCTTTGTAGTAAGCCTAGCAACTGATATCTCACTGTTACTGTTACGTATGTTGAAATTAGATACATCCAGCCTGAACAGACATTTTTCTTAACAATTTCATTAAGTATTTTAGGATAGTCCTTCCCCTCCTGTAATATAGATAAGTCATATTAGTTATTGCATTAATCTTTTTTTGAAGAAAAAATGAGACTCAATTTAAAATACCTTCTGACGTAATTCACCAGAAGTCTTGTTAATGAAATTGTAAACCATCCTGTCTCATAGGGTTGCAATCCTGCTACCAGATGCATCCCTGACATATATCTGTAACTTGAACCTGCTCATATTACCATAAACAGAGCTTATAACTGTTGAGAAACTACAACTGTAATATATTACCTAAAATTTCAAATTGATAAATTAACAGTATACAAAACTAAATCCATTACTTTGGTCCAATAGCAGAAATAGGACCATGGTTACCACACATCCACTTCTTCTCAACACTTATCTTCTTTTGGGCATCAACATTCCTCCCTCTCAGTGATTGGACAACCTGTTTTTCAGCATTAGGTTTCTTACCTCTGAAGTACTTGATTTCCTCAACCTTTTTGTTGCACTCTTTGCAACCTATGTATGACCAATCAAATTCTGTACCAGTTATCTTTGCAAAGACAACAACATAGGCAGCCCAACAGAATTAAAAGAAATCAACATTAACAGTAATCCAAACAAAAAATATTAATAATGGATTGACATAGAAAATTAGTACGATTTATGATACCCCATCTAGTTGATCTATGTCAGCCAATGACAGCAGGTTTGTGACACTTATGAAATCTTCATAAGTAGTGTATCCAGATATAGATGACATCATCAAAATTTTGTGAATGCTTGCTTGTTTGATCTCATCGTCGAAGGCACTTATTGGACATAAAAAGTATTAAATTGTAATGTGTTTATCATAATTCATAAACTGTTGTACAATATATAATACTAAATACACATGTCTTTATATTCAAATATCTCAGGCATGGTCATGTCATCAAGATAAATCTTTCCATTCAACAGATTTGTGTAACAGAAGCTTTTGCTGTCCATTTGATGGTGATAAAATATAAGTACTAAAATTTGTAAATTGAAAGTGATAACTGGAAAATATGTATTAAGGACTACTATACTTACAGTAGTACTTCTTGTACTTTACATACTGTACAATAAGCACAACAGGAAAAGTGGGGATTGAGTCCATGTATTCCAAAACTCCGTCAGCATGTTCACCCCATAAGGTTACTTTTAGCCTGTCAGCCCTTTTTTAATACATAAACAATCTTCATTATTACAATTTCTTAAACATTATATAAACATTGTTTTAGATGTAATAAATGTATAAAACTTATATACCTTTCATCTTCAAGTTCAACAGAAATCCTTTTTTTTCCGTAGTCAACAATAGGATCACTGTATGCAATTATGTGCCCTCTCAGATCTGCATAAATGTTTTTAAAAGGTTTAAATACATATGAATATGCCGACCGATACAGTCTTTAACAAATAATGAAGTAATGTAAAAACTATGGAACTTTTACCAAAACAATAATCAAAATTAGCCACATAATTTGTAACTTCTGCAAAAGGTGTGAACTCAAAAATGTGATTTGGAATGTCAAAATCAAAAATAGCTTCAATCAATGTGTTTGATTCAAACACGATTTTGTATTCGTATTTAGCACATCGAAAACCACCAGCAATGTTCAGTCCATGATCAAATCGTGACAGCCTTCTTACAGAATCTTCTTTTAAGATATCTTGAAAATCTTTCACATAGCGGCTAGGAACAGTAGCCTGAATCTTACCATCTTGTATACAACAAAATGATAAGAACAAACAATAATTTATTATTTACTCTATAATTTAGATGAATTATAAAACGAAACATGTAAGAAACCTGAGCATCAATCAAAGTCATCTCCATCGATTTAATTTTGCTGCTCTTGGAAGACTTGGGTACTTTCCATAACGTCATAATTCGGGCAACAATGAAGAAATGTATGCTTTTTGTATCAATCAGTCCATTTATGTTAGAAATGTATCTTTGCGCTGCAGTTATGGGAATAGATACAACATTAGTTTGAACTACAGGTATGGGAACAGATGCAGCAACTGCTTGATTTGGGGAGGGACTGATCGGGGCAGATGATCCAGCATGATTGGTGATCAAAACAGTTTGGGGACTGGAAGGACCAGATGCTTCGACATGATTGGTTGGCAGCGAAAAACTGTTGACAACATTACCAACAGTTTCATTACCACCTTCATCAACAAAGGAAGGTTAAACAACATGCTGGTTTGAGTTCTGTTCTGAGGCCATGGAAACAACAAATTAAAAAAGGAACTTTTGAAGTATAAACTATGAGGCTTTGCTAAATGATGGTGTTTTAAATCTTTGGATGGCTATAGAACCATTTATTTATACAGGTATTTCACTGATGATTCGACCATTCTTAAATGTTTTGATTTTTGAGATGTGATTGAAGTTGTTATGAAAGATATACACGGAATTGATAATAAGAGATATGGATGGATTAGTTTTTGTGATTTGCATTTAAAAATGTGTATTTTATCCCATTTGGTATCTGTTTAATGCTGATTGACAGGATAATAATAGAGAAAATATCATCAGTGTGAATAGAATTATTATATATATGTGATAAAAATCTAAATTTGATATATATGATCCTGTTTTCTCGTTTGAATTACAGGGACAGATGATTCTCAAAGCTAATTTTGAGGCAGATGATTCTTTGGGATAAGAATATAGAGGCAGCTGATTCTCAATCAGAGATTGTTGATTTCAGGGAGTCGCATATATATTGTATTGTATTGATTACAGCGCTGGAAATCAGGCTTCTCGCCGAGTAAACTTTTTCCTTTAAATTTGTGTTAGGCTTCTAACCGAGTGAATTTGATATATATGGTCTTGTTTTCTCGTTTGAATTACAAGGACATATGAAAAAAATTTGTGCTAGAAATTAGGATTCTGACAGAGTGAACATAGGAAAAAAATTTTGCAACTCATTGGTGAAGCCACGTGTCCTAATTTTGTAGCTTCAGATTTGTACTATAAATGGTTTTGGAGGAAAATTTTTCTTTGTGGTGCTGACATGTGTACAAAATGTTTGTTGCTTTAAGTAAATACACTAGATTTAAATTAAATATTGAGATTTGTATAATTTTTATATAAATTCAAAACTTAATATGAACAAATTTTAAGAAATAGTAGAGTATTATTTTGATCAAGAAACGTATTCACGCCTCGATTTAAAAAAAGAATGCCTATCTTACATAGTCTTGCTCTACATACTTACATAGTTATGTTTTGAAAATCGGATCGGACCGGGCGGTTGAACTGGTTCAATTGGGAGTCGGAGGCCTCCTCGGTCCGATTTCGGTTAATAACCGATAAACTTAAAAATCGGTCAAACTCGATCAAACCCAGGCGAAACCGCGTTCGACTGTGAACCGGTACCGGTTGAACTTATTTTTTGAAACTTCGAAAATAAATTATTTTTTAATATTTTGTGTAGCCGGTTTTGACCGATTTTTAAGGTCGATTCAAACTAGTTGAATCAGTGAACCAATGAATTAGTTAAGTTACCGATTCACCTTCCGGTCTGATTTTCACAACATAGATACATAGGGAGTTACTCGTTGCAAGTTGCTTTGTCGTCTTTCCATCAAAGTAAAATAATCTACTTTATTGACTATTTTTATGGAATTGTGAGAGCACTAATTTATGCATATGTGCTTAAGAATTTTTTTCCCCAACAGTGACATTTACTTTGTAAATATGCGATTAATTGTAATGATTATACCAAAAAAAAAGGCCATAATAAAATCACAAGAGTACAACTTATTTTTCTCCGGACAATGGAAGTTGGACTTAGTTTTAAATAATTTTTCTTTGTTTTGCCCTATCAACTTTCAATTGAGCAAGATTTTTTTTTTCATATCTGCAGGATGTTCACCGCCGACAACAGTGATCAGTAGCGGAGACAAAGGGGATCAACAGGGGCTGTCGCCCCCCTCTCCTAATTTTTTTTATTAAAGAAGGATATAATTTTTTAGAATAAAATTTAAAAAATTATAATTTTGCCCCTGTTATATAAAAAATTTATCATTTCGCCCCTGTCATTTAGGATTCCTGGCTCCGCCACTGACAGTGAATAATTTCCCTCGCTGAATTGTAGGCATCTCGATGGATGGAACAACTGGTCAAAGTATTTAAGGTTGCTTCATGCCCATGGCGAGGTTCGAATCATCAACCTATGGTTAAGAGTGGAGGAGTTTCTTCCACTCCACCACAACCATTTTAGTTTCAATTGAGCAAGATGATAATAAATTTTTATATTTCTGTGTCTGGCCTTCTTAGACCTGGTCAGATCTCGAGAAGCTATACAGAATGCATATACGAGTTGACTAAAACCGTAGTGGGATGGAAATGGAAGCAAATTTTTTAATCCCACGATTTTTTTAAAAAAAAATGAAAAATTCTGCCCAATTTTTTTCACTATAACTATTTTGAGACATACAGATTCTTCTTCATTTTTTTTCTTTTTTTTTTGGCAAATAAAAAGGGGGAAAGGGCTTTGACAATGACTTTTCTTTAATCACGCCTGCCCACGTACGCCGCTCTTAATAGAATTTGATTATTGAACATTTGATTAGTTTTACATTTATTTTCCGGTTACACAATGATCATTCTTTATGTAGAGGTTATAAATATTTTCTGGTTAAATTTAACAAAATAATAGAAAAAGGTAAACAAGATTACTTTTACTAACTGTAAAGGACTATGCACGATGTAGAATATGTATGTCTTTTGAAGGTTCTTACAAATTAGTGAATTGCATTATTTTGTTGTCTTTTAATCACTTACAGTTACGAGATTCTTCAGATTTTTTCCTTTTAAAAATTGTGCTCTTTTTATATACTCCCTCTGTCCTAAAATTATTGTTCAGTTTGATATTTCATTTTTAGTATAATTTGAATTATAAATGAAAACTCAAACTGGACAATAATTATGAGACGGAGGGATTATATGTTTTTAGTGGTGTTTGGAAAGTTTATTTTACTCATAATATTGACCTGACTACGATTGTATTTTAAATTATGGGGGAATCTTAAGCATAATTTTATTCGAACAAAATCCTCCCACAATGATCCTACCCTATAAGAAGTTATCCGAAAGAATGAAAAAGAAAATTGTTAGTTTTTATTTTTTATTGAAGAAAAAAAAATAAATAACCGAATCAAAATTATCTCGCATATGAATCTGCCAAACGGCAAGATGCTTATTGGGGGATTTCTTCAGCGCAAATTTGTCTTATTTTCTAAATAATCTAGGTAACTTCTCACGTCCCAATGTAGATTCTTTAGGGGTCTTTTCCCTAAAAAAAAAATTAATTAAAATAAAGGTGGATAAATTTAAATTTTTTAAAATATTTGTGAGCAGGAATATATTCCACGGATTTCCGAAATCCGAGTTATAATTAAAATTAAACATTCGAATTTCAAAAATCCGAATCTACATTTAATAATAAAATAATAATTAAATAAATTTTGTTGAATAATAGTTTTTAAAAAATCTTACATGAACACGTTTGGATTTGCGTAATCCGAGTCTCACTAAAATATAATAAATTGAGGCGCGAAATATTTGAACTCAAATAAGAAGGAGTCCATGACCTGGACTCCTTAAATAAACAATAGTACTCGGATTTCCGAAATCCAAATTCTCAAAAAGAAAAAAATAATAATAAAATAAAATCAAAGGTGTGAAAGTTTTGAAATCAAAGAACTGGAATACCGTAATCCGGTTACATGTATTAGTGTTATGTACTATTTGTACGTAATAATATTATGTAGTACATTAATACTGTTAAATCTGTTAGTCATTATATATTATCATTAATTCAGTATAATTTATTTGTATTATTATAATGTACTATTTGTACGTACTAGTATTATGTAGTACATTAATACTAATACTCATTATACATTATTGGTACTATTGTTATTTATACTGTTAAATCTGTTAGTCATTATATATTATCACAAAAATAGTATAATTTATTTGTATTAGTGTTATGTACTATTTGTACGTACTAGTATTATGTAGTACATTAATACTATTACTCATTATACATTACTGGTACTAGTGTTACTTATTATTGTTACATCTATTAGTTATTAGATATTAGTATTAATTTAGTATAATTTATCTGTATTAGCGTTATGTACTATTTGTACGTACTAGTATTATGTAATACATCAATACTATTATCCATTATACATTACTGGTACTAGTGTTATTTATTATTGTTAAATCTATTAGTTATTAGATATTATTATAAATTCAGTATAATTCATTTGTATTAGTGTTATGTACTATTTGTATGTACTAGTATTATGTAGTACATTAATACTATTACCTATTATACATTACTGGTACTAGTGTTACTTATTACTGTTACATCTCTTAGTTATTAGAAATTATCATTAATTCAATATAATTTATCTGTATTAGTGTTATGTACGTACTAGTATTATATAATACATTTATACTAATATTATTTTATATAGTACATTAATATTAATACTAATTACATATTACTTGTACTAGTGTTACTTATTAATGCTAAATCTGTTAGTTATTAGATATTATAATTTTTTCAGTATAATTCATCTGTATTAGTATTATGTGCTATTTGTACGTACTAGTATTATGTAGTACATTAATACTAATACTCATTATACATTAGTGGTATTACTGTTATTTATTATTGTTAAATCTGTTAGTTATTAAATATTATCATTAATTCAGTATAATCTACCTGTACTACTGATATATACCTTTTAAGCAAATAATTGCATTTTCAGAATCTGAGTCAAGCAAAAAAATTAGATTTTTAAAAAATAAGGCCATAGGGTTTAAGGTTTAACTTTAGATTTCCCAAATCCGAG